TTTTAAATGATTTTTCTGGGCAAAAAGTGCTCGCGTTTACTTGACAGGGCAAACTAACTTTTCAGAAAAAAATGTGACAAATGTCATCGTTAAAGGTGTTAAAGGTGGACGAAAATTAAAACAGCATTTTCTTATTTTTCGGTTGTAGATAAAACGTTGTACATGACACGTGCGTTTAAACATGATTACAACACTCGTGTGATTAGAACGACTCGGTCTACGAAATCGTCGTTCTAATCGTTCACACTCGTTGTTGTAATCATGTTCATAAACACACTTGTACTGTAAATAACTATTATCCACGACTCGTCTATAATTTGATTATTATACACAAGTTTATAAAATAATAATAATATTCATTATTCACTAGTGAATAATGGTTGCATTATTCACCGCTTCCACGGATATCTCTATCCAAACTCCAAACAAGTGTTATTTAAAGTTTTTACTGTCACTTTTTGCATTCATCTATGGGGTGTGTTTCAAAAGTTGTCTTTCTTGTCATAAGAATTTTAAAATATATTTTTTCCTTTTTAATAAGTCTCTCATGTTATATCTCGACATGTAAACAAATTATTAAACACCATTACGAAGAACCAATGTTAAAATTCCCTCGTTTTCTACTCTAAAATTCGATTTAAAAATTTGAAGTTTTAAATGTTATTTCTTTGCATTCATCTATGGTGGGTTTCAAAAGTTGTTTTTTATTTACTTATATTAATATTATCTAAATTTTTTTGATGGTCCTGGATAAAGTATAGTATTATACTCAATTCATAATATTAATTAACAAATTGCAATACTATGGATTCAGGGGAGTGCCGCTTGAATGGCTTAAGTCGTATCTTGGCAACAGAAGGCAGCTTGTGGGGATTGATACGTCTATGTCTTCTTGTAAGCCTATAGAATGTGGTGTCCCGCAGGGTTCAGTACGTAGTTTATCAACGACATTGCAAATCTAGACATTAGCGGTAAAATCTGCCTCTTTGCGGACGATACTAGTTTCACTTGGAGCGGCCCAGATGTTACGGCACTATATAATACTATATCCAGTGACTTACGCACCATTAAATCTTGGTGCGATTCTAATTTCCTATGCCTCAACCTTGCAAAAACTAAGGTTTTGTCATATAAAAGTACTGTACAACCTTTTGTACTTAATAACACCACTATTGACGTCGTGGACTCTGTGAGATTCTTAGGACTTGTTGTAGACAACTCGTTAAAATGGGACTTGCACATCGAAGCTTTATCAAAGAAACTAAGCGCTGCCTGTTTTGCGCTAAGATCAGTTTCTAAGGAACTTAACTCATCAACCTCTAAAATGGTCTATTATGCCCTTTTTGAGTCGCATCTTTGTTATGCCCTTCCATTCTGGGGTACTTGCTGCGCGACAAAGTTTGATCGTATTTTCAAACTTCAAAAGAGAGCAGTTCGATATTTATTGGGACTGTAGAACTCACTGCCAGAATTTCTTTAAAAATTTCAAAATACTGACTCTTCCTTCCTTATTCATTTTTGAATCCGTTTGCTTAATCCGCAAGCACATATCTGCTATTCCGGAAAGGCCTTCTCACAACTATCCACTTAGGAATGCGGAGCACGATATTTATCTGCCAACCCCGAGCTCAGAACTAGTTAAGGGCTCAATACTGTACAATGCGAATCATTTGCCTTCGAATATCAAGTCACTTTCATTCTTTCCCGCATTTCGCAAAGCCCTGAAATCATACTTGCTGGAGAGAGCCCTATATGCGGTAATAGACTTTTTTGTTGATGTTTAATCATCAACAATTTTGAATTTTAAAATTTTGATCATCTCACACACCTTAAGTTAAGGTCTAGTATTTAATATTTAATATTTTATAACTCTTGATTTTATGATATATATCATGATTTTATCCATTTACAGTTTTCCTTTTGTAAAATTTTCTAGATACGCCTGTGTTCTGCAATGTCCATGTATGTTTTATTTGTAATTTTAATGACGTAATTTTTTTTTAATTGATTTGTATTGTATGACATTTTTTTTATTATTTGTATATTTGTTTTTAATATTTGTACACTTGTTTTTGTGCTTGTGAATGTTTTGTCGATGAAGCTGTTTTGGCTTTTTGTACAATAAAGCGTTGTTTTTTTTTACTCGCATATAATGGCTGTTATTCACTTGTATGATTTCATCACCAAACCAAACTTCATCCGCGTGAATAACAGCCACCATTATATACTCGTTGAATAATATACTGTTATCCACGACTCGTCTATAATTTGATTATTATACATGAGTTTATGAAATAATAATAATATTCATGATTCACTAGTGAATAATGGTTTCATTATTCACCGCTTCCACGGATATCTCGATCCAAACTTGTCACATTGTGTGAACACAAACATTACCATTAATGTAAATAAATAATTTTTGTTTTAATTAGTTAAAGCTAAATTAGTTAGTTCGTTCAATATTTTTTTGACATTAAAAATAAAGACTTATATTAATATTATCTAAATTTTTTTGATAGTCTTGGATAGTATAGTATTCTACTCGCATATAATGGCTGTTATTCACTTGAATGATTTTTTCTCGCCTGCGGCTCGTGTCATAAACTTCATCCGCGTGAATAGCAGCCACCATTATATGCTCGTTGAATAATATACTATTATTCACTTTCACAAAATTTGTATTAAAATGACCGTGTGTTTGTCTGTCCGTCTGAGGACTCCATTAGAGCGCTTTCACACATGCCGGCAAAATCTGTGACATTGTGATAGTTAGTTTTGACGTAAGAAACGTCAAAAGCTGATATTGTCCGATCGCGACCAAATTTGGTGAGTAGGCTATGTGAGCGACGGCGACTGTGCACACGGTCCCACCATGCAAAGTTGGATATGACGTTTTGTTTACATCTTAGGAGGGTGGGACTAAGGATTTGATATTGAAGAAAAATGTGGGTCGATTTCAGCATAATTGGGGACAGGCTACAGGATGACGCCCTCAACGTTTCGAACCGATGCCTCTAAATGAACAAACTCATCAGGATTTTTCTTAATTATGGGTTGATTGGAACGAAACTCTGCACATAGACAGGGGACAGGGGTGCTCAAATTGAGTCCTTAGACGGACAGATGGACAAACGGACAGACGGACATCTTAATACAAATTTTGTGAAAGTGAATCGAATTATTTTTTAATTTATTACTTTTTCAACATTTCAAACTACACTTTTTCAAACATGTCCTTCAAATCCTTAAATTTAATAGCCTTTAGTAAGAAGTTCCACTTCAAATATGCGCAGATACAGGGTGGCCCATCGAAAACGTTCCGCAAGGCATAACGGCCAGAGTAATTTTTTTTCAGAAAATTCAAAAACACGTCAATTTTGTTTGTGAGGGGGACAACGTTTGCCCCAAAAATGATTGCAAAATCTTCAACCCTCTAAGCGGGGTGTCATCCCCCAATTTTTTTCAAATGGGAAGGGGGGTCAAGTGGCACCGCAATGAAAAGGGCTTTCTATTCTCTATACATTCCGGATTCGTTTTTGAAAATCGGTCGAGTCATTGAGAATATATGAAGGATTGAAATTCGAAAAGTTTAATTAAACATTTATCAGAGTAAATGACAAAGGTAAATTCCTTCGACCAATTTGCTGTTTCTTCTTATTATTTCTAGATGTTTACGCATTTTTTTACTTGCCACAAGGTTGAACGATCAGGTGTGGTAGTTGCTAGATAGCTGTTCAGTGACTTATGCGTTGATATTCTTCTCAATATCGTTAAACTTTTTAATAATTATGGTGTACTTACTTGCAGAAAAAGTGGAAATAATCGAACTTTATTTTAAAAATAATGAATGTGGCAATCGATTTGCGCAGATATTCAATGAACACCATCCTGACAAACACCTTTATGGCAAAATTGTTGGTGAGTTAGTAGCAAAATTTCGCGAAACTGGTTCCGTTATGAATAAAAAGAGGCAGAGGGAAAATCCTGTAGTAAATGAAGGATGTATTCGTATTGAGCCAAGTTGCCATGGATAGTACGCTGAGTACAAGAAAATTAGCCAATGAGACCGGCGTGAATCGTACAAGCGTCCAAAGGATATTAAAAAAACACAAGTTCCACCCGTACAAAATTGAGTTGGTACAAGAACTCAACGAAGACGATTTTGATCGTCGCTTGCAATTTTGTGAAACTGCGTGAACGAGTGGCGAATGATAATAATTTCCTATTTAATGTGTGTTTTTCGGATGAGTGTACTTTCTTTTTGAACGGTGTAGTTAATAAGCACAACTGTCGATAGTGGGCTGAGGACAACCCCATGGTTTTTCACGAGGTGCACACACAAAATCCTCAGAAATTGAACGTGTGGGCTGGTATTTTTGGAAATTCTATTGTAGGTCAGTTTAACGATATTGAGAAGAACTTCAACGCACAAGTCACAGAACAGCTATCTAGCAACTACTGCACCTGATCGTTCAACCTTTTGACAAGTGAAAAAATGCGTAAACATCTAGAAATAATAAGAAAAAAACTCAAATTGGTCGAAGGAATTTATCCTTATCATTTACTCTGATAAATGTTTAAATAAACTTTTCAAATTTCAATCCTTCATATTTTCTCAATGACTCGACCGATTTTCAGAAACGAGGCGGGAAAATATAGAGAATAGAAAGCTCTTTTCACTGCAGCGCCATTTGACCCCCCTTCCCATTTGAAAAAAGTTGGGGGATGACACCCCCGCTTAGAGGGTTGAAGATTTTGCAATCATTTTTGGGGCAAAAGTTGTCCCCCTCACAAACAAAATTGACGTGTGTTTGGATTTTTTGAAAAAAAGAATACCTTATCCGTTATGCCTTGCGGAACGTTTTCGATAGGCCACCCTGTATAGTGCACACACAATTTTTATTTGTTCTGTTTTGATTTACTGTTTATCTTTTAATTCACATCTTAGTATCTGCGAGCCAATAACGTTATTAATATTCTGCTATACCTCTTTACAGATCGTTCGTTCCTCGTGGCAAACTACTCCAAACCGGGACAATGCAACATAATCTACTGCTCGGACGGCTTCTGCCGCTTGGCCGGCTACTCGAGGGCGGAAGTGATGCAACGCTCAGCCTCCTGTTCTTTTCTGTGCGGACCGTTGACCTCACAACAGGCCGTCAACGGGCTGAGAGAGGCGCTCCAGAAAGGAATAGAAAAGCACGCCGAAGTCTTATATTATCGAAAAGACGGTAAGTTTGTAAATATACCTTGTCAGAGTCACTATAAAAAAGACTTAAGTCTTAACTCTCTTCTAAGACCAAAGTGATTTAAATCTTAAGACAAAAAACGAAAAGTATTTTAAGTTCACGTCTCACTAAATTGTACGGGGTATAATTTGTTTGAGTAGAACCGTGGTCCTTGGCCATATATCACGGTCAAGGTCTACCGATTTGGCGAGTGTCTAAATCGACTCTTACTCACGATATATCCGAATCGGCGTGAATGAGCAGTGTGTGTTAATAGATTTTAAACTCTTGCCATGGACAGAGTTTTCACAGGGTCACCCGTCCATCCACTCGCATCGCCTAATGTGGCTTAACTTCGGTTATACTAAGGGCTGGCAAAGGTTAGTCTTGGGTCGAGATTTCCATATGTAAGAAGAGTACAATGCCTTTATAATGCACTGATCAAAGAGAGAACAGTAAACACGTTGCCAAACGTATGAAATGAATCGAGAAATTGTGCACATTGCTAAGAGACGTGGAAGGAGATATAGCAGATTTGTCGCAGTTGACCGGTCGACCCAATCAGTAGCTTACTTCGGGTTTCGCTTATTACCGATTCTGAACCGTCCTAGAATTTTTCTATATATTAGTGAACTTTTCTATATATTATTCTTTTCTCCTATATTTTACGTAATAATCGACCGTTTCCATACATCAAAGCGACCCTGTATGTTCCTTCGGTGATATTTTTTCATAACTGCATGAGTAGGTGTACGATGTAAAAATATAATGTATTTCTTTTTTATCATTTGGACAGTTAATTGAACTACTAGTAGACGTACTACCTACTAATAAAAATTTCATAAATATTGACAAATCGGCGCAATCAATTAGACTTAACTTATTAGCCTTTAACATTATACAAGTTACACATGTGTTTTACGTCACAAATTTTACGAGGCTATAAAATGCTTCATATTGAGCAACTTGAATAATCCAGTGAAATGCTTGCAGTATCGTTTATTTATCGAGTAAATCATGAACTTAATGATATTAATAATTCTCAATAAATTTTAGAAACTATATTATTTTAAAATATTTTTAGAAAAAAGTATATCTATTTCATTATTTTCTATAAGTGCGGTTTCACATGGAGCGGAGGGTGTGTATTTTAAGGTCCGACGGAGTACTTTCATCTGTGCTGTCAATCTGCGCATGTGAAAGAAAGTTTTTTTTAAAAAAATGTCTATATTTCTGTGGCGGATTCATCTCTTTAAAAAAGTCCAATTTGTAGGTAAAACTGTAAGATAAAATTAAAAAACCATCAAATTTTCTGTATGATTATTTTTTAATTTGTTTTTAATTTTTACAATAAAATTATATAAGGATTCTTGCCACTTAACTGCTGATATAGAAATTTAATTCTACGCTGTGTTTGTCATAATGTGGATCAACCTGCTCTCATTCCCGGTTTCGGAGCCCTACTCCATCATCAGGTGATCTTGGGCAGATCCCATAGAGAAAGTTAATAGTTTAGAGTGTGGTAAATCGCGTGGTAAAATGTTGGGAGATTGCGCTTTTGGCGCCCTCTGGTTGGCTACAGGAACGAACTATGAAAGAGCGGGAGATTTAAATTATTATTATACTTATTATTTTTAAGGCAATTAAAATTAAGAGTGCCCTTAACCAAAAACAGTGAAATAAATGGAGATACCTACTCAATTTTTATATTATCATGATATTAAAGGATATAAATACAGCATTTATAATCCTTTTACACCTTTTTATTCAAAGTCTTACACGCTAATATAAAATTTGACTATCTCCATTTATTTCACTATTTTTGGTTAAGGGCATTCTTAATTTTAATTTTCCTTTTTTTATGGGAAAACGATTAAATGGGAAGAATTGAATGGGAATGGAAAGAATGACCAATTATTGTATTTTGTTTAATTTATAATACCCCTATTCTACTAAATATCTAGCTACATTGTACTTACAGTTAAATAGCTACATTGTACTAGTTATATACATATTTACAGTTTTATGATGGCTATTATTTCTTTTCATCGTGATATCAATTGATTCGCTCCGACTTGAGTACTATACCTCGAGATGGCTCCAGGAATGATTTATCTTTACAGGCCTAGAATATGAAGATTCACAGTAGAATTTTTGGTTTTACTGCCTATTAGAAACAAACCTACCCCCCTACATCAAGGGACATACAATTATGCCTTGTTCTCGGCCATGATATTCCTTCCATTCTATATCCAACATCCAACTTAGCAGACCTTCTGATTCACAACAGGGCCTAGACTGGCCGGATGATATTTTAACAGAATAGCCCTTGATATCTCTTTTACACTTTCATTTAATAATTAAATAGGAGGGCTGGATGGTATAATTTCTAGAAAGAATAGCCTGTGAAATAAAAACTTCTGCATGGACATTACCTTTCTTACCTTTGTCTGCTATTTTTTAATAAAAAATAACTGTTTAGTTTGCACAAAAATAAAATTAACAATCAAAAATTTCTTAAAAAATGATCAAGTCTTGTACTACGCCGTGTGCCGGTTTTTGAACAAACAACAAACAAAAGAATGAGGTTAGCGGCGTTGCCAATGTCAATTTTCTAAACTACCCAAAAATCTAAATTAAATTCGCCAATTTGGGGAGAAAAATGTCCCGATTCACCAAAAATTCCCCCTATGATTATTTTAACAAAAAAAATAATTTTAATAAAAATACAATATTTATTATATATGTTAGAGAGATTAAACTGTAAATTACCCCCTTGTTTTTTAATCCCTTCCCTAATAGTCATTAAATAATTTGAGGTCACTAAATTTTCTTTCAACTGAAGCATTTGCAAAGGGAAGCACAAGTAAAAAGCAGATTATAATTTTTAAGTTGGGAAAGATATATCGTCCCGCTCCGTTTTTAGAGCTAAAAATTTTACGCCATTTTCAATCAGCAATAAAATGTTGAAACTCCCCTTATTTTCGCCCCCTATTGCTAAAATCCCCACAAATTCCCAATCGGCTCCGGATTCATACCCAATCGGCTCCATTCTTCCTCAACGCTGGAGGTTAGCGTGTTCTTTCTGAATATGCTAAGACTTACGGACTAGTGTCGAACTTGTGTCGAAACACAGATAGCTAGATGGACGTATTTCGGCACTTGCGTCGATGCGCTACAGGAACATTTGCCTGCGCGTCGTATGTCTTCTGGCAGTCTATTAATTTTTCTGTTTGTCTATGGCAGATCCACAAAATGACAACCACAGCGCAGAGATAGTTAATTCCGACTTGTCGGAGAGTATCGGTTAGATATTAAGTCCCGCGAACTGGAGATAGCGGCCTGCGTGCAATGGTAGTACTTTTATCGATAGTAAAATGATGGTAAATAGCTTTTTTCAGGGAAGGCAAATTATAAAATAGAAAACAAATTTCTAAAAAAAGTTAATTAGTCTAATTTCTAAAAATACCTATACTGCAAGATTAAAAATATTTTCGTAGAATAACAGATTACGCCACTGTATTCTGCGTAAAAAGTTCTACAAGAGTTTTACCTTTCACAATAATAGAGATATATGAGGGGTGTCCCAAATTGGCAAAATTTTCAAAAAGATCCTGTAGGTGAGAAACGAAGAGAGCTATAAAAATTTTGTTTGCGGCATCTTCTGTTTGTCAAAAAAGTGGGACAGGTTTGTGTAAACCGCATCCTCTTATCTTCACTAATAACGTATAATTTCAACCATATGATATAGATACCGTATGATTTCAACCAAAATGGGACAAAAAATGTCTATACATGTGTGGCGGATTCGTCTCTTCAAAAAATCCTATATGGGTATTTCGCCACTGCAATAATATATAAATAAATACCAAAAAGAAGAAAGAATTTATTGGGCAAGTCCAGAGTAAGATTAGCCATGAAACATGACAAAAACATGACTACCCGTAGACACTCAGTGTTTCTGCCTTGCGGCTTCATCAATACGGGAGGAATCAGCAACGATGAACTAGTGATCCTGAAAAAAGAAAAAAGGAAGCAAACGAGGCACAAGGCACCATTTGCAGCCTGTTATTCTAATCTTACTGTGGACTTGCCCAATAAATTCTTTCTTCTTTTTAGTCTCCACGATAATATCTTTTGTTTATTGTTTTCTGTGGGCCAAGGTGATAGCGGTGAGGTGTGTTGGAATGCATCCGCAGCAGTTTTTCGGTGGTAACGCTTGCGAATTGTGAGCAACTGCCTAACCAGGCTGCAAATGGTGCCTTGTGCCTCGTTTGCTTTCCTTTTTCTTTTTTCAGGATCACTAGTTCATCGTTATTGATTCCTCCCGTATTTATGAAACCGGAAGGCAGAAACACTGAGCGTCTACGGGTAGTCATGTTTTAGTCATGTGTTTCGTGGCTAATCTTACTGTAGACTTGCCCAATAAATTATTTCTTCTTTTTTATTATAGTCTCCACGATAACATCTTTTGTTTATTTAAATAAATACATACAGATTGTTAACCGGACGGTTACTTATTGGGGAACAGAATGGCAACACTGCCTACATTCCAAATGAGTACTAAGCTAACAGCGCTTTTAGATGGAGCGAAGCGTCCGCGGCGGACCGCCCGTCGTGTTTTTTCTAGATAGCCGTCGCCGTCGCGTCGGACGGAGCATACGTTCCCATGTGGAATTGTTCATATAAACTCATGATACTTGCTCGAAATCGCGGACGCTCCGTAGCGGACGGTCCGCTCCATCTGAAAGCGCTGTAAGCTGCCTACTTGTCCCGTCGCGTCGTCTCTCGACGAGCGGGCCGAGGTTGCCATATTTCAATCATAAAGCTTTTACCGCGAGTAATAAACAAATTAACAACCTGTATAATAAATAGTGTCTGTTTTAAAAAACTAAAGTGTTCTCGAATAGGTGAATTTAAATATTTTAAATAGTTTTTTTCTTTATTTTTTGTATTTTTTTGCTTTGGACGACGGAAAGAGATAAACTTTCCGAAACTTTAAG